TATAGCATGCTTGAACCACGACATTTAATTTTCAACTGACAAGCAGTTTACCAATCTCTTAAGATTTTTGTTTGTTTGCCCTCTTAAAATATATTGTCATTTGTGGAGAGATCAAAAGAATTGCATTTTATTTATTTATTTATCTATTTATTGGATGAAGAAACATATCTAAAAATATCAGTTCATTTGTCAGCGTATAGCGAGTGAGCTTAAAGCTTTTGCTCATTTTCAAACAAATGTAACATGAGAGTACTTGGAGCTTCAATACGCTCTCTTTACTTTTCAGTAACATATAACATAGTCTCTCAAATCAGTGTTGGCCACCTTTAAAATCTGTATGAAAATCTCTTCTCATGCTATTATATGAGATGCAGGACGAATGCTGGCTTTATCTTTATCGCCACCTTTCGTTATCGTTTCGTATTATTAAACACTTATTTATTTATTCATTTATTTTTACAGAATGGCATAAGTAACTTTCCATATTCATTTGGTTATTCTGTGGTGAATCCAGAAAAGATGAGGTTGGGCGCCTTTAAATGCGCGAACCATTCAACAATTTGCAGTGGCGGGCTGCCGCTTGAAACATGATGTCCATATCTACTTTGATTATGACCTGTTGACCGACGGCCAGCATTATATGACTGACTTAAGAAAAAAATACTGATAATTGAAACTTGCGAAAGGAATCCCTGATTAACTGTAAGTTGTGATATTAATTTACAGGCTTTTAATATTCATATAGTATAACAAAAACAGAAAAATACATAAATAAATAAAAATCCAAATTATGATATTACCTCTTATAAGGTTTTCTCCATTTATTTCCTTCACTTCATTTCCTCTTTTGTTGTAGACAACACAGCGTTGATATGTAGCCTGCTCAATATCTTGCCACTTCTACCGTGGCCTCTCAGTGGCGTGGCCCGAGTGGGAGAATGTCGATCGCTCGGCAAGGGACGGACACAAGTGGAGGCTCGTGTGGCGGGCTCAAAGCACAAGCAACACAAAAAAATTATGCCAGTGTTACAGAACAGTGCTATGGGGATTATACATTATGAAACAAGGATGATATCTTTTAATGTCGATATTCATATTTACTCAACTTCAAATGAGATTCAGAAGCACTAGAATCAGTTTTAAACGTCGTTTTCTCTTCGTCTAAATTAGATTGCAGTTTGTACATTCGAATGTGGGCACAGGAATTAATCAGTAATGGACCATTGATCATTTGATCCGTAATATTTGAAAAATGAGCTTCAATAGTTCTGATTAGAGGAGAAAGCCCAGCTAAATTACAATTCTATTAATAAATTATTCATATGCATCACATAAATGAATACTATCATAGGTTTCTAAACGGAGTACTATATAGGTTCGAAAGATTCACTGAAATGTACTACAAATTGTTCCTAGGGAGATGGCCATTCTAACGTAATGATGGCAACCATAAGATCTCATGAATGTCCTATAAATTGGCCAACAGACAATTGGAAACATGGGTTTGGTGTAAAAAATATATGGATGGACATTATTCCACCTAACAGTTTGCCGTAAGCTGAGCATGAATGTTATCATAGCTTTTTATGTGCGGAACAATAATCACGTTCAAAAGCAAGAAGAGTATTCACACATATATCTACCAAATAGCATTTTACACGTACATATTTATTTTTAACGGTTGTTTGTTTTCTAATTTAATATTCATTCACACACACACACACACACACACACACACACAAACCATTTGAAATTGTGCTCATCTCATTTAAGGAAAGATGTTTGTTTTCAGTCATTTAGGGAAGCACTACAATGCTCATCATGGCAGGTTCTGCCCATGGCTTACTATGCACAGTGGTGACCACGTATTCCAATGTGGAGGATGATCACAGCACCTAACAAGATCGTTCTAGAGACAGCCAGTGGTTCATATTATATGACATTCATATACCATTCACCAAAAAGGAAAATCCATAGTACCATTCTGTGGTGCCAAAGGACACTACTACTACCGCTCTACAATTTAAGAGCTCGTAACTTGGTCTTGTGAACAATTCCATCAAAGGCTGCTTCCTTCCTTTATTAGTTTGTCATTCCTCTGGCTGTCAGTGTGGCTAAAGCTCCATTGCAGGATAAGGCGTCTACCCTGACTTTTTTTTTTTTTTTTTTTTTGGGGGGGGGGGGGCTGCTGTTTTTAAGTAGGCTCTGTCGTAGTGCATGTTACGAACCAAGCTATCCATGACTACCCTGGAATGGTAACATGTCCCTCAATCCATGAAGCATAGGCCACGGCTCCCATAATAAAACAGCCCCTGTTTATAGCCAGATTTGTCCCTTGCTGCAAAACTGGTGCCTGGGGTGAAGTTGGAAAATTATGTGATTTTTAAAGATTTATTGATACTATGATATGGTAGAATTCTTTTCTATGGAAGAAAGATTAGTGATTGGGGGTAGATTTCAGTGGGCATGCCGGCGAAGGGAATTTAGGAGATAAAGAGATGATGAGATATGGTGTAAGAATGTTGAAAGACAAATGGTGGTGGATTTTGCTAATCTAACCTTTTTCTAGTAGGAAGAACATAGAATAACATATAACAGCGGAGGAAGGGCCTCACGAGTGGACTTATTTTCTTTCAAATCTCTTTCAAATCTCTTCGGCAAAGAAAATAGTCAACTCGTGTGGCCCTTCCTCCGCTGTTTTATGTTATTCTATGTTCTTCCTACTTGAAAAAGGTATTTACCAAAGTCATTTCCATTCGATTAGCAAAATCCACCTCCATTTGTCCTTCATCATTCTTACACCACATCTCATCATCTCTTCATCTCCTAAATTCCCTTCGCCGACATGCCCATTGAAATATACCCCCGATCAGTAATCTTTCTTCCATAGAAAGAGATTGGAGACTGTAAGGTGATAGTAGGAGAAAGTGCAGTTACACAATAGCGAACGGTAGTATGTAAGTTTAATTTCAGAACGAGAAACAAGAAAATGAAAGCATAGTAAAAGATCAAATGGTGGAAGTTGAAGAATGAATACTATCGGGAGGAATATAGGGAAGAAGTGAAACGGATATTGTATAGTGAGGAGATGCCAGTTAGTTGGACAGATACAGCAAAAGTATTAAGGCAAACAGCTAAGAAGGCAAATAACTGTAGTGCCATCCGGATATCGAAGTGACAAAGGTAAAAGAATTCAAATATCTAGGCTCAACTCTCCAGAGTAATGGGCAATGCAGCAAAGAGGAATGATCTGTGACAAAAGGCTAACGGCTAGAGTGAAAGGGAAAAGTTATAAGGCAATGGTGAGGCTGGAAATTTTATATGAAATGGAAATGGTACCACTGACAAAAAGACAGGGAGTAGAGCCAGAGACTGCTGTTGAGATTTTCTTTTGGAGTAACGAGGAATGGTAGGATTAAGAATGACTGCATAAGAGGGACAGCCAAAGATGCACGCTTAAGAGGAAAAGTAAGAGAGGCAAGACTTAGGTGGGTTGGTTATGTTCTGCGGAGGGACATGTGTTACATAAGTACAGGAATGTTGAGGATGGAGTTACCAGGCAAGAGAAAAAGAGGAAGACCAAAAAGAAGTTTTATGAAGTTAGAAAAAAACATGCAAGAGGTCGGTGTAACAGAGGAAGTGGTTAAGGTAAAATGAATTTTAAAACGATCCGCTGTGACAACCCTAAACGAGAGCACCCGAAAGCATTTTAGCTTTATTGAGAGAAAAAAGACATCGGTCAGTATTTGATCATCCGGATATTACAATCAAACGGCTCGCCGGGCAACGTCGGGCGCTGTCTCCTCTTCATATCCTCGATTCAGTCCTCTTCACAAGAGACCGACCTACACGCAATGTGCATCTGAAACAGTGGAGAGATGGAATCAAAGGTGGAACCCCTCGATCCCACACCGACGCTGGTGGGCGCCTCGACCTCCACATACCATTACGTTTCAGTCAGCCTCCGAGTAGTATTACACAGAACAACTTAGGAACGGGGAGATGAAAATACCGTGGCAGATGGCTACACTCCCAACGGAACAGCCAGAAAGAAAGCACCACCATCAGATGGGCCTAGGAAAGCCAGTTGATCCTGGCGCAGGAGAGGGGTTGAGTCCTGAACGAAGGTGAGCAGGAGACATTTCCGAATGTGCCCGTGTCAAAGACCCGAGACGGACCGAAGAACGTCATTATAAAATGTGGAGCCCAAAATGTGGCAGCCCTCGGGAGAGAGATTTGGTGCTGTTTTATTGGCGCTGGCAGGCGAGGTCAAAAGATCTTATCGCAGTTGAGAGGATGAGAAGTGTGATGGCTGAAGTGATCCTATCGCTTGAAGTTGTGTTCTCTCCTGCCATCTATTCTTGACGAAAGAATAATCAATCGGGAATCCATCGGACTTCTGATATAACGAGCACTCATCACTTATTAGTGTACAAATGTAACTAGGCTCAGCCTAGAGGTCTCTCTAAAGTATAATACATTTTAATTTGTATTCGTTCAGTTTTTTTTTTGTTATTTTTTTAATATAAAGTACCTAAACAAATGTATTTCCTTGGTATATAACAATCCCTTCTGTGTGAAACAAGCAATAACCAAAATAATACCAAAACTGTGTATTTACTTGACTAGTACCCGCAGAGAAACGGAACATCGTAATGTAAACTTGACTTACAATGTTAATGTAAACGTCACTTAAATCAAGTTTCCCCTCTATTCTGTTCCTTTGTAGCCCTTGGTCATTCGGATCGGCTTTACAAGCCAACTTGCTTGTAAGGTGCCTTATTTTGAAGGAAGGCCTTTTATTTGGCACATTATACACATGGTCCTGGGAGTGGGATTTCAAAGATACATCATAAAGATATTAAAGAAGGTCCTCAGAAACCAAAATGTGGTGAATCATTTTAAAAGATGACCTCTCATCAGTTTTAACCAGGAGTTTACCTCTGACTCTCTCATCCCAAAGGCCTCTATGGTCAGGCAGACGAGATAATGACTGTGATCAAGATAGAGTCTAAAGTGTGCTCTGTGGTTATGCATTTAATGACTCCATGGAGACATGCAGTATCATTCTCTAAGCTGTATTTCTTTTCTTTCTTTCTTCAAAGTTGGTAACATTTCAGTCAGAAGCCTTCGGTACCAAGCTGTTTAACCCATTCCAGCTGGGGAAAATGAATAAAAAATGGGGAAAATGCTGTGCTGTTTTTTATTTTTGTGAAATCTCTCTGCACATAGATGGCTCTACTAGTGCTTAGCCACAAAGGAGTCAATTAGTAGATCTTGAGACCTTACCTAATTTCACCTTTCCTTGAATTGGCGGGAAAAACGTATTTTTTACTAGTGTTATAAATATCAACAGTGTTATTTTTATTAGAAACCTTATAATTACTATAGTTATGAACATTTGTAACAGCAAAATAAGATAACGTAAAATATTTTTGTAAATCAAAGAAAAGGGTAAACAGGCGAGGCAGGCAGTACTCGTAACTAGCTCATTGGTGACTTAGTACAAGTGTAGCCATCTACGTGTAAAAACAATCAAACAAGTCAACTCACAGTGGGCATGGCATGTACGTACATACCATGCCTGTTGGCATTGGGTTAATGAAGTTGAGCCCATTTTCACTTGGAACCCTCAGTACCATTCTCTCATCTATGTTTTTTTGTCAATGATGGTCATATATATATATATATATATATATATATATATATATATATATATATATATATATATATATATATATATGAAACATATATATATACATATATATATGTATATATACATATATATATATATATATATATATATATATATATATATATATATATATATATATATACATATATATATGTATATATACATATATATATATATATATATATATATATATATATATATATATATATATATATATATATATATATATATATATGAAATACACACACACACACACACACACACACACACACACACACACACACACACACACACACACACACACACACACACACACACACACACACACACACACACACACATCTATATATAAATATATGTATGTGTGTGTGTGAGAGAGAGATTTATATATGAATATATGCAGTATATTAAGATACATTGATAGATAGAGTGACTAACTTCTGGTGAACTGCTTCCCCTGCAGCAATTTGCAATATTAAAAAAATGTTTCACAAGCTAATCATGCAAGACATTTATGACATGGGCAAATTGATGAACTGTTTTCTTTTTTTTAACCTGTAAGTTTGGCCTTTATAGACTATTATTTATATCATCAAACAGGATACCACTGACATCCATTTCATCTGTATTCATGAAATAAGAAGAATGTAGCTGCAGTATATAGATTAATGTTCATTTTCAAATGTGATGTACTTACCATATTTCTCAATACAAGTCATTGCTTTAGTAACTAAACATTGTATAATAACTTACTGAATGTGTGGTTGTGATTTACACTTATAAATTGCTTAGTGAACAGATCAGTATTATAATTTGCCTATTTATTGTTTTGTCAATTTGTATGTGTGTCTGTGTGTGGGGAGGGGATTGCGTGGGTGAGTGTATGTCTGTCTGATAAATAAAAAATATGTATAAAATATATGACCACATCACCTTTCAAAATCATATGATACTTATAATCAAAAATATGTTTTAAATGTTATATTTCAGTGTTCAACTTCGTCTTTCTTACTCAGTCTTTCAGTGGTCATAGCAAGATATCCAGTCATTTCACATTATTTTATTCATGAAACATATCACTACAAAATAAGGACAAATATAATAAACATGAAAATACATATATCTTGTGCAATAATTATACAACATGCCAATATTTGCAAAAATAAATTGGAACTGAGTAATCCTCAGAATTCACAGCAATATGAGAGGAAAGTGAGAATATAGTGTGTGCTTTGATAATAATTTAATGCTTAAAAAATAAAACAGGCTAAATTGTAATTCAAGTACCAACTTTCTTGGTAAATGCTAACATCAGGCATTAGTTAAGAGGAAGAGAGAAAACACACACACACACACACACACACACACACACACACACACACACACACACACACACACACACACACACACACACACACACACACACACACACACAAATTATAGATATTATTGTAATGCCTTGTTACCCTAAGTAAAGCATATTATAAAAAGTGCCATCATATGTTGAATGTGATTTATTATCTTACTTATACATTTACTGAAAGCATTGACTTGTATTGAGAAACTTAGTGGTCAAGCCCCATTCTTAAAACAGGATACTAACATTATGACTGTATAAGCTAACTGAATTTTACCTTGAAATCTGTTTCCTTACATTTTTATTTATTATCTGATATTCATTTCTTACTTCACAAATAATTAGAAGTTTAGTCAAATATTGCACTGCCCCACTGAATGTAACTACATATACACATGTATTGCAATCCTCACAGCAATGATCTTATATCTTAAATAGGAGAGTAAAT